AAATTAGATTACTTACTCACTCACAGAATGTAAATAATGTAGTATCCTGATAAAGATTTATTTCTGTTTGTAGCAACTGTCTCCCCTAGTCATCTCAGAAAACCAAATTCTCAAAGGATCATACCCAAAATCGAAATAAGTAAGAGGTGTGTAATTTATTTTTAAGCAAACGGGGCATTTTTTTAGCAATGCATGGCTGTCAGTTTACGGGTTAAATTGACAAGGACAGTGGTATACATTTATGTAGAAACAAAGCATCTACATTTAACTTGCCCAATAGATAGACTAAGAATATCTGATCACCCTTTTTCTTATCATAACATCAACAGTTATAAATCATTTTCTTCTTTCTTAATTTTGGGCATCTAATTTTTGCATTCAGACATTCAAAGTTTCAATTTAAAGTTTCAATTTATATCCCTGACATTTTTTTCAAGTAGACTAATGGTATAAACTTTCATGTAGTAAAGTATGTCTTGGGAAATAAAATTTTTGGAAATTTCATCTCTTTTGTTTAGGAAGGGAGAAAACGAAACTGATATTTCTTTACACAAAATATTGAAATATTAAATGCATTAAACAAATAAATTAATATATTAGGTAGATCTTTAATATGTAGAATATTACCTTTATACTCGAGCATACATTTTGATAAAATATATCATGAAGTTTTCCTTTTTATTTAAACACCTTAATATCTAATGCAAATAAAGCCTCTCAAAGACCTACAAGTTAGAAGTGTAAATAATCCATTTTCCAAAATTTCATTAGGAAATATTAATAACCTTTAATTTGTAGATATTTTTTCAGGTACCCTTTCTCTTCAATTTATATAGAGTTTACTGTAAAGAAGTCTGAAGATACTGAATGTCGATGTGGAATCTAACCTGCTTCTCAGTGAAGATCTCTAAACACATAAAAAAACAAGTATAACTGACATATACTCATTATTAAAATATTATTAATACTCATTATCTCATCCTCAGCACTGCATTTTTATTTAAAGAAATTCACTTTGTATTAATTACAAATTATTTTAATCTATACAGATAGTAAATATGAAGTCATCTGAACAATGTAACATCATCTTTGACTCTTTTATCAGGAAATTTTAAGCTTGATAATCAAATCAGACAGTTCTTAGAAACTGGTTACCTGCTTACTTTTCTGATAACCAGTTACTCAGATGGTTTTCCTTTGGACCTCAAAGCATCCTTGTTCTTGGTATATATACTCGAAAGTAACTGTAATATATATAACACAGTTACAATTTCTACATTTATCATTTATATACCAGTATATATAAAACACAAATACACTGCATATATTCTTAATTTTTTATACACAGTATTTTAGACTACATAATTTCTTCTTGAACCATCAACTCGGGTACTAATCAAAGGTTTGTCACGTAAACCTATGTCATGTCATGTCTTTCTGATAATCATTAGCATGCACTTCTAGTAATTCTGCACAATTCCCATGCAATATTTTGAGATTGTATTCATTTGCCTCTTGGCCCTTCTCTAATGCATTCTTGATGTGTTTCCAATGCTTCATCTGATATGGGTTGTTCAGACGTTCGAATACGCAATGAATTCAAAACAGTTGCAAATGCTTTGTCTTCACCTTGTCGCATTATTTCATCCAACTCTACAATTGCCAATAGTCATTTACTTGTATTTTGTGGCCAAACGGCCGAACGCCGCAACATGGTGAGTACCCGATTTCTTGATACAGTCGCACTGATGATGAATATGACAAAATTTTGGCCAAAAAATGATTAATTTTTAAATTAACAATATTGCATAAATTACTATGCAAAATTATTAATTTACGAAGTAATCATTTTTTAGCCAAAATGTTGTTGTATTCATCGTCTGTGTGACTGTATCAAAAAATTTGATACTCTCCATCTTGCACATCTCAGCCATTTGGCCTCCAAATGCAAGTAACGCAAAAAGTAGGTAACAATAGGTGCTTTGGGTAGGTTTAAATACCTAGGTACTATTAATAGCTACGTATGATAAAAAATCTTTGGACTGGACCTGTTAAACACTGGCATAGTAATTATTGTTCATTTAATGAAAAATGATTAAATCTACTTTTATTTTTGATAAACAAATAGGCCTATGAAATAGCAAAAAGAGAGAGCAATGGTTGTAACGGTAGGCGAACCTAAGTTATTGGCAATTTTCATGCGTTACTCAAAATTCTTACAAGTTGTCAAGAACTTTCAGAAGCTATGTCCATTGGCCGCCATCTTTCACATGTGACTCTTGGAAAAATTCAATACATAGGCTACATCATGTACATCAAATACTTACCTTAACATTTTTTTGACCAGGCTCGAGCAGCAAGTTGAAAGTAATAAATAACTTGTGTCTTTAACTCCTAACGGATCTTTAAGACTTTGTTGAAATCTTCCCAAAACCTTGCATCGTCTCTAGAGTTGCAGTCTGCAGCGCTCCAAGCAAGGAAATGTTAATGTCGTCATATATAATTCAGTCGTTCGAAAAAGAATCGTAGTAAAATGAAAAAAAGGGGGTAAAATTAACATTCTGACTAATGATTAATTACTGACATTTGACTGATGTCGCGATAGAAATTCTTCATTACATTTTGGATACAATGAAACACTGTAATAGTAAAGGGGTACAAAGCAAACCCCCACCCTCCCCCAGAATATGAAACATATCTATTTTAAACTGCACATAAAATTTATATTTTTGTGTCGATCCTGTAATTTTTTTTTTTTACACATTTTATTCATTTAATTTATTAATAGTTTAATAAAAAAAATTATTTCCTTTTCATTATTTTTTAGGCATTTATAAAAAAGAAGATATTTTTTTCCTTTTTTTTTAAAATGTATATATATATATATATATATATATATATATATATATATATATATGACATATGGCTTTAGGAGACCAAGGAGGATATATTTTCTGGCTTAGGGAGACCACTGGATTAGGGCGACCTTTTTCGGTCTCCCTATTATTTTGACCTCATCAGTATTGCAAATGTCTTTTTATAGATGAATAAACAGTCTGCCATTAAATATTATTAATCTTTAACTCTGTTATTTAACATTCAAAAGTTGTCTAATTTCTATCATCTTCCCTAAAAAAGAAAAGAATTTATAACCTACGTATAATTTCAAAGGATAATTTTTCTGCATTTTGGAGACCATGAAAAACATGCAATTAAACAAAAAATCTAGCATATATATTTTTTCCGCTTTTGATTTGTTCAAATGAGTGTTTCTTTAACTTAGTTTTCCATGTTTTATGTTAAAAACCTAAAAAGGAAAAATATTGTAAATTTATGAACCATGTTTTGAATTCTTAGCAAGTGCTTTCCGTCATTTGTTCCGAATGCCATCGGAATGCCCCTTCAGTTTTCAGAAAATGACCTCTGAACACCATGGATGTTGAGAAATTTGGGTAAGTAACTAAAATGATACAGTAATAAGTTGTAATTAAGAATACACAAGAGAAACATTCGATTTTTTTTTTTTGGCCTAGTAATTTAGCTTTCAAGAGAAAAAGAATTAGTATGATTTTAAATAATCGTTAGACTATAGTTCGGTATATAAAATCCTGAAGGAAATTCGAAATAAAGTTAAATGATAGGCCCCTATATTTTTTAATTCTTTTATGCAAGTCCACAAACAAATTAAATATTTAAAGATTAGGCCGAACGTAGAAAAAAAATAGTCTCAAAAGTTGACGCAGCTATTTCGAGCTTAAAAATTTAAATTAAACTTTCTGTAAACATCATGCAGGACATGATCATCATGATATAGTACAAATGAAACAGACCCTGTAAGAAAAAAATAGCTGTAATTTAATAATTGTTTATTAATATAATGTGATCCTCTGCTAATAGAATATATATGCTGTAAAAAAATCTGAATCAGGGTGAAGCAGATTTGATACAATACATGGCTGAAGGAACGGGGGGGGGGGGGGGGGCAGGCCCCCTGTAATTTTGCTGAAATTTAGGTATACTAAAGGAAACCTTGCTCCTTTATGCTTGGGCCCCCTCAATAATAACCTCTGATAATGTATTTTCCTTTTGCTTATTAAAAAATTTTTGGTTTGTAGCCTCCCCTAACCTGAAACTGAAAAATGTTGTTTGGTTGTGCTCACCCCCCCCCCTCCAACTAAATTACGTACGGGCCTATTCTCCATCCCTGAGGTTTTCTTTCACCAAAGAAAGATTAATTGGTTCAGATATATATAGCAATATTTACGGAAGGGAATATTCTCGTTTAATTATGAAGATGTGACAGTAACTCAGTCAGATGCACAGTGAGTGTAACATTTATTTAATATTATTGTTAATGTTTACAAATAGTGAAATACTGATACTATGAAATTTTAATGGACATATAGAAAATATACAAGTACAACCATTTATTGTAAATCACATACATGAAAAGCTTCTTTTTTTTTCAAGCAATTGGAAATTCTTCATTTTTTCATGAAATTATTTTATTTCGTATGTATGATAATTTATTTCGTATTTTAATTCAGTCAACAAATCATTGTCGCAGCCTAGTTCCCTTCATTATTTTCAGCAGTTCAGTGACAGAGATAAAATGATCATTTGAAGGTTTATACCCCCCCCCCCCCCCCACCAAATGAAACTGAAAAATGTTTGGTTTTGGTCCCCTTCAACTGAAATTGATTCCTACTTACCATGCTTACAGGCTTAACTACGAAGATGTGACAGGGAGTGTCATAACAATAATTGTTCAGACGGATACATATTAAAAGCTGATCAATATACGTATCAAATTTTAATGGATAGATAGAAATTAATAAACAATTACAACCATTTATGATAAACTACATAAAGATAATTTTTCAAGCAATTTGAAATTCTTCATTTTTTATGATAATATTTTATTTCGTATATATATGTTTATAGGTTTATTCGTATCAACAAATCTGTGTACGAGTTAATAACGCAGCCAGGTTCCCTGCATTTTCAGTGACAGAGAACCAGAACGCTGATACTAAAACAAGTCCCACGGACGTGACGGAGAAAATAAGTCCCACATGAGTCCTACGTGAGTCCCACAGAACCAGAATAAGATTGCAGGGAAACAAGCCTTGTTACAAGGTTTGAGGTTTGTTTATTTTATATTTTAATTTACACTTTTTAAAAATTATCATTATTATGCAAAAATCTGTGTGCATATGAATATTTACATTTTAATGTTATAAGTCGTTTTGTGGTTCATTTATTTGCGGTGACTGTCCCACGTGTGTTTACCTGTTTACATTCACTTACTGACCTAGCGTCTTCAAAATATACCTTCTGTAATCATGACTGTTGTAATCTTGTTTTTATGTTAGTTTACCGTATGTAACTTGACTGTTGTATAGATTTATAGCGATCACTGCAAGCTTTTAATATTTAGGTGAAGAGAAATTTCAGACTATCAATCACAGGCACTTGTTTCATATACGGTGCACCCCTACTTATTTTTACCACAAGGTGTCTAACTCAATTTCAGGCACCCCCGCTTCAAGCTCGTATTTTGTTCATGTATCATTATCAATCATTAACCTACTTTAAATTATTAAAATGACATCGTTCGCTTCAAGAGACTTTTTTCTTGTCAAATAAATCGTTTCAGACGTCTCTGGTCGAGCCTCTTTATTGTAAACCACTCATTTATTCCTCGAAAATTACCTCGATATATTTTTAGGCTTTAGATGGGATACAACTTCCAGTTGGGGGTAGAATAAAACCAGAGACTTCCGAGTATTCCATTCCAAGGTCTCTGGTTTTATCCTTCATTTATAACCCCAACCGCAAATTTGTATCGAAAAATTACCTTGATACATTTTAAGACTTTAGATGGGATACAAATTTCATTTTTTTCACAGGTCACGAGGTTTCAACTTAAAAAAGAAAAATTCTCACCATTAAGATATGTTGGAAATTTTAGCTTGATGTGTTGATAATTTGCCAAATTATTATGTAATAAAGGGGACTTTATATGATCACCCGGCGCTGTCGCTTTAGTTCAGTCTTCACAACAATTCTTTTTCAGCACATGCCCTTCGGGCATGTAGACCTATCATTTTTTCCCAGCCCATTCAAATTTGTACATGTCCTACTCAAAATTCTTACATTTACCAGTATTGTGCAACAAAAAAAAAACCATTAGGTATAAAGGTTTTATATTAATTTTTTCAGCGTCGTAAACCAACCATGGCCTGTGATTGCCATTCTCTAAAGCGTTTTTGTTCATAAATAACTTTTGAGTTGCATGCTGGTCATTTGTTGGCCGGTTTAGCTGAACTGAATTTCAGAAATGGGATCATGACTGTAGTGCCACAGTATGTGGCATTGATGAACATCTCGTAATTTAGCAAGCAACTTCGAGAAAACAAATAGGTTAAACTAAACACTTCAATGATTAGATTGACAATCATTTGACAGGTCGTATCGAGAATGTAGACAGGCAATCCATCGACATTGCATACAGCAAGGTTTAAGCGAATAATGGGGGTAGGACAGAATAAATGGCAAGTAAAGATCATACAATGAAAGAAGATTCACATATGCCCTCTTCGGACATGTAATTTGGCAATTTTTACATGCCCGGCTGCAAATTTAACAGGTCCCTGGCATTGGACTCCCGGGTTATTTGGAAGACTGTTAGTTTAGTTTCATGAGGTCCGACAACATTGATTCTCAATGTCTGCTCCCTCTACCCCATACACTTATCTTGATAAAATTATATAAATTATATTATTAATTATATAAATTGATATAAATTATATAAACCGGTCTTGTTTATATAATTTTACAATGTCATAAACAGCTGCTTAAGTGCATATAATATTGTAAATGGATTTATATATAGGATTAGGGAAAGATCCTCACTTGATTATGGCAGCATATTTAGCTCGTAGGGGTTTATTATCTACCACACATGATCAATGTCACTTTTGGACGTGAATGACTTTTGACACCCTAACTTCAGTTCAAATCAACGTTAACTTTATGTGACGTCTCTCTGAATCTTTTTTGGCATGCAACTTGGGTAAAAACAATAAAAGTACTCTTGATGCATTTGATTTCTCTTAGCCCGTTTAAACATTTCCAAGGTCTATACCAGTTTTTGCAGGGGCGAAACTATGTAGAAGCTGGAAAAGAAACCCATCCCCTTTTTGACATATTTGGTTTTCGAGGGGTGAAAATTTTCAATGTTACACTCAACTACATGCAATATTTATTATATTATACTGAATGTTTTATACAAATACAAATAATAGTGAACCTTGAGCGCATAAATCTGCGCAGTCACTGTCACTATTTTTTGGAATATCACCCGTCGTCAAGCAATGTTGACTGTTGCGACACTGGGCGTAGCTTCATTATTCAGCGGATAATAGTGCTTTTTAACAAATGTTTCTTGACGAATCAGATTAATTCATCTAATATACCTGAAAGTACAATATTAATTAATTGTCATCATTTTCCTATATTAGCATTTTTACTGGTAATGGTTTTGAAATGATAGGAACATGCACTGTTCAAAAAGTCTTAAAATGTTGTTTTGGCTCAATTTCTTTGTTAGATTACTGTGTTGAACTAAGGCAGGTCAATTAAAGTAACATGATCCTATAGATTCCATGTACATTTAGTACTGTAAAGTAGACAAATTTATTGTTCTCAAAAGTAGTTCTCAAACATTGATTTAAGCTGGTCTCCTGAAGGATGTAATAATGCAATTGGTCTGCTTAAGGTACAGTGTATAATATAGAGATGCATATTTTATTTTGAATTTGTATTATGTCAATCATTAGAAATATATGGATCTTAATTAGAAAACATTGTTTTCATTAGAATTTAAGATATGTATAATAGGCATATATTCTTCATGCTTTTCCATAGTTAAGTCCTTTTTTACAGGGTCTCTGCTAGAATCATGTGGACCCCAGTGTAACAAATCTATGGAAAGAGAGAAAATCTCAGCTCAAGGGTCAACATGTCTTTATTCCAAGAAAGGTAAATTGATAATTTTTTCTGCTAAAATACTCTTTTATAAATTATAATATCAATGCAAAAGAATGAACAAACAATGTACCTAAAACATTTTGAAAATGAAAGTGCAATAACAGTTAATAATTATGATCAAGTGAATGAATGTTAATAATCCAATCAAAGTCCTTGTTGTATATCATTTTTGCTAGGGCTGTGTATTGAGCAAAAAAAAAAAAAAAAAAAAAAAGATTGACATTTTTAATGCGATATGCAATATATTGAATTCTTTAACAATTCTGTCAAAAAAGTCTTATAAATCATTATGCATGAATTTTATAAAAATAATAATTGTTTTTTACTCATTTTTAATTTTTTGTCTCACCGTTTTTAAAAATTACACTTCAAATTCAAACTTTTCTTGACTGTAAAATCAACATGTTAAGTAAAGTTGTCTATGTATTTTTATGATTTTGTAATAATAATCTAAGATGTGCTACCTCCTTAATGATTATATCATTTTTGATCAGTTTTAATTCAAAACAGTTAAATATAATCTTTGGTGATTGCATCTTCGCTAGCCAAGGGCTTCTGATACGCTACTCTCCTCATAAGCCCTTGGCATACGGTGTTAAAAAAAGTTGAGATTTTTTTCTCAAGTTGTGATTGGAGTTGATCGACATCGTTCGACCAATCAGCAATTGTGATTTGTAAATGACGATATTTGCGTTCGGGATATATCTTGACTCTTTAATATCGGTAATGTAAAACGCAAGTAAACAATGATCCGTAGGATAACATGCCATTCTATGAATAGCAATATGGTGTCATCCAATTTCTAAAGCAACGTGCAAAAGATGTGATTAAGAATCTATACTGAAGATGTAGATTTGCATTTTTACATGTTTAAATAACAAATTAACATAACTCAATGCCTTCTTGTTAATTATTTTTTAAAAACAAATTTTTTTTAAATACGCTTTTTATTTCTCTCGATGACGCAATCTGTGCGTACCTGGTAAGAATCATGATCACGTGACAAAAACAATCCCGTCTTTTGTCAGCACCGTATGCCAAGGGTTTATGAGGAGAGTAGCGTATCAGAAACCCTTGGCTAGCGAAGATGTGGTGATTGAAATTCCCAACTTTTTCACAGAATTACATAAAAAAACTGCCTGCCCAAAATGTTTTGGAATTAAGTTATTTTTAGCTCACCTGAGCCAAAGGCTCAAGTGAGCTTTTCTGATCAAAATTTGTCCGTTGTCTGTCGTCTTTGTTGTTGTTGTTGTTGTTGTAAACTTTTCACATTTTCATCTTCTTCTCAAGAACCACTGGGCCAATTTCAACCAAACTTGCCACAAAGCATCCTTGGGTGAAGGGGATTCAAGTTTGTTCAAATGAAGGGCCACACCCTCTTTCAAGGGGAGATAATTAAGAATTAGAGAAAATTTAGTGGTATCTTTTAAAAATCTTCTTCTCAAGAACCACTGGGCTGTAAAAGTTGAAGCTTAGGTGAGATCTTCATTACATAGTGTAGATTCAAATTTGTTCAAATCATGACCCCCAGGGGTAGGATGGGGCCACAAGGGGGGATCAAAGTTTTACATAGGAATATATAGAAAAATCTTTAAAAATTTTTTTCTCAAGAACAACAAAGCCACAATTAAGCATATTGATATGGAATTATCCTCAGGGTAGTGCAGATTCAAGTTTGTTCAAATCATGACCCCCAGGGGTAGGGTGGGGCCACAATGGAGGATCAAAGTTTTACATAGAAATATGTAGGAAAAATCTTGAAATTGTTTTTCTTAAAAACAACAAAGCCACAATTAATCATAATTTATATGGAATCATCCTCAGGTAGTGTAGATTCAAGTTTGTACAAAATCATGACCCCTGGGGGGGGGGGGGCACAATGGGGGATCAAAATTTGACATAGGAATTTATAGGAATAAAATCTTTAAAAATCTTTCTCTCAAGAACAACAAAGCCACAATTAGTCATATTGATATGGAATCATTCTCAGGTAGTGTAGATTAATTTTGTACAAATCATGACCCCCAGGGGTAGGGTGGGGCCACAATGGGGGATCAAAATTTTACATAGAAATATGTAGAAAAAAATCTTGAAAAATCTTCCTCTCAAGAACAACAAAGTCACAATTAGTCATATTGATGTGGATTCATCCACAGGTAGCGAAGATTCAAGTTTGTATCAAATCATGACCCCTCGGGGTAGGGTGGGGCCACAAGGGGGGATCAAAGTTTTACATAGGAATATATAGAAAAAATCTTTAAAAATCTTTTTCTCAAGAACAACAAAGCCACAATTAAGCATATTGATATGGAATTATCCTCAGGGTAGTGCAGATTCAAGTTTGTTCAAATCATGACCCCCAGGGGTAGGGTGGGGCCACAATGGAGGATCAAAGTTTTACATAGAAATATGTAGGAAAAATCTTGAAATTGTTTTTCTTAAAAACAACAAAGCCACAATTAATCATAATTTATATGGAATCATCCTCAGGTAGTGTAGATTCAAGTTTGTACAAAATCATGACCCCCGGGGGGGGGGGGGGGGGCACAATGGGGGATCAAAATTTGACAGGAATTTATAGGAATAAAACCTTTAAAAATCTTTCTCTCAAGAACAACAAAGCCACAATTAGTCATATTGATATGGAATCATTCTCAGGTAGTGTAGATTAATTTTGTACAAATCATGACCCCCAGGGGTAGGGTGGGGCCACAATGGGGGATCAAAATTTTACATAGAAATATGTAGAAAAAAATCTTGAAAAATCTTCTTCTCAAGAACAACAAAGTCACAATTAGTCATATTGATGTGGATTCATCCACAGGTAGCGAAGATTCAAGTTTGTATCAAATCATGACCCCTCGGGGTAGGGTGGGGCCACAAGGGGCGATCAAAGTTTTACATAGGAATATACAGGAAAAAAAAACTTGAAAAATCTTCTTCTCAAGAACAGCAAAGCCTTGTTAAGTCATATTGATATGGAAGCATTCTCAGATAGTGTAGATTTAACTTTGTTCAAATTATGACCCCCAGGGTTAGGGTGGTGCCACAATTGAGGATCAAAGCTTTACATAGGAATACATAGGAAAAAACTTCAAAAATCTTCTTCTCAAGAACAGCAAAGTCATGTTTTGTCATACTGATATGGAAGCATCCTCAGGTAGTGTAGATTCTAGATTTTTCAAATCATGACCCCTGGGGGTAGGGTGGGGCCACAATGGGGGATCACAGTTTTACATAAGAATATATAGGGGAAAAAAAACTTGAAAAATCTTCTTCTCAGGTCAACAGCAAAGCCATGTTTTGTCATATTGATATGGAAGCTTCCTCGGGTAGTGTAGATTCAAGTTTGTTCAAATCATGACCCCTGGGGGTAGGAAGGGGCCACAATGGGGGATCATAGTTTTACATAGGAATATATAGGGAAAAAACCTGAAAAATCTTCTTCTCAGGAATAGCAAAGCCATGTTTTGTCATATTGGTATGGAAGCATCTTCAGGTAGTGTAGATTCAAGTTTGTTCAAATCATAAACTCCAGGGGTAGGGTGGGGTCACAATGTGGGATCAAATTTTTACATAGGAATATATAGGAAGAAATCTTTTCATCAACAGAAAAGCCATGTTTAGTCATATTGATATGGAAGCATCCCCAGGTACTGTAGATTCAAGTTTGTTCAAATGATGGGGGGGGGGGGGGGGTTAGGGAGGGTCCACAATGGGGGATCAAATTTTTAACAAGAGAATATATAGGAAAAAAATCTTTAAAAATCTTTTGCTCAAGAACAGTAAAGCCACTTGTTATATTGATATGGGAGCATCCTCAGGTAGTTCAAAATCCAAGCCCCCTCCCCTTTAAACTTTTCAATACTGAAGTGATCTGTGCTTTTTCCTAGCCAATGTGCTCAGGTGAGCGATGTGGCCCATGGGCCTCTTGTTTTTGATACAATATATTCATTAATCTAGATATGTATTGATATATTTGATGCAGCCCTAATTATTGCTGGTTCATAAAATAACTAAAAAATAAACAAATGAAAATTTCGGCATGGTTGGCATTGCAACTGTATCTTACACATTCAAATCAGGCCATTATTACGAGTTTTGGAACATGTTGGGTTCTTCACTAGCTAGTGCCGCTACTACAGAGAAGACAGCTTGTTTTCAAACTGTGTCATTCAAAGTTTCAATATATGAGAAACACAACAAATCTAAATGCTTAGCCATTACACTAAATGATGAATCTACTTTATTGTGTTATTTATTGACATTTGACAATCATGATTCATAAATCATTTTGAAATTTTATATGTATCATATCATAAGGTCTGTGTATTATCCCAACCCTATATACCTACATATCACGATGTATCATTTCAGCATTTACTCATATTGAGATGCCACTGTCCCACCTGCCTGCTAACGTGGAAACAAAACTCCCCTCTGTAACAAAAGAGTGCACCAATGGAGATAATCTCAAAACTTGTGTAGTAGGATCAACTCCTAACAATGCACCACTTTTCAGCATTTATATTCATTGCTTAAGGGTTTATTCTTACTAATGAAATAAGTTGTGGTGATGCATATATTTACTGTAAGACATTTGTAATAACGAAGCATTTGTGAGATATACCTTTTATCAGTTATTTACAAACAAGGCATTTGAAGAGGACGAGCACAGTGCATTTTTTTTTTTATCTGAAGTTAGGTGATTTTAAGCAAAAGAACATTTCTTGTCCATATTAAGAAAGCAAAATATTTTGACCTAGTTTGAAGTTTTTTAAACCCATTAAACTTAATTGTTAAAAAATTAAGTATGTAAACTAAATTTTGAATAAAGAGTTGGTCCTCTTTGTAAAACTTGCTCTGTGAGCAAGTTGAAATTACAATGCCTTTCATGATTCCTTCACAAAAAATGGGGTGATGACCCACAATATTAATAAATGTAGGTTTTAAATAATATTTTATATTTCATAAATTAAACAGTGAAATTTAAAAAAAAAAAAAAAAAATTAATCATTTTTAAACTGTTGTTACATTTAGGCATGTGGGTATATGTACATATCCTGTTAAAGTCTTTGTGTATCACATTATATCATGATATACTTCAGACAAATTAGTACACCCGTAGTTTTGAATACAATTCATACATTGATTTCATTTGCCACAATGGTCTCTTTAATATTGCAATAATGCATTTGGTCTTCCTAATGCATGTATAATGCAGGTACTGTATATACTCTATGTCCAACTTATAGGTGAGTCATAAAAAGATTAGTATTTTGAAACCAGGTTAAAACATCAGAGCATTGATTTGAAATTGTCAATTGTTGTACCGATTTATAAGCGAGTCAATAGCAAATCCCTCCAAAATAACCTCAAAAAATACAACTGACTTATAGGTGGACCACCTTATAGGCAAGTATATATATGGTATAGTTTTTGTTGAATTTTGCTAACAGCAAAACACTATATATGAATAATGAATTTTGGAAAAAAAAGATTATTAACTAAAGTTTAATGATGGATGTATGTAGTATAGAAATATTGTTCATATGCCTGTACATGGTACAAATATGCATTTTACAGAGTGTACATATGCCAGAATCATATGGACCCCAGACTGGCCCTGGTGATTCCGTTAAGAAAAAAAGAGGAAAAATCAGTGCTTGTGCTCATTGGTCATTGGACAAAGGTAAATAGATTTATTTCATGAAACTAAACATGTAAATTACTAGGATATTAAAATATCACAATTAAAATACATGTACTGATTTATATATATATGGATATCAATTGGTCTCCTTGATGGAGTTAAATGCGTTTGTTATCCCTTTTAAGTGGATCATTTAAATATTATGCAGTTTATTTAGAAGCTCTTTATTATCTGCACTGTTCACTTTTACAGGGTGTATGCCAGAATTTTTTCAAGAACAGTCTGAATCTGACATGGAAAAAATGAAGAAAAACAGCCTTCCTGTTTATAAATCTACATTCTGACAAAGGGTAATTTTGTTTAGTTCAATTAGAAGTGCACATTTAACATCAGTTGCTTTCCTTAATGATATATTATAGCATTTTTATTCCCTTAAGAACAATATGTATACTTGTAAAGCATGTATCACAAAATCTTCTGCAAACAAAGTTTTGGGTGTATAGTGTTTGTTGTTTAACGTCCCTCTTGAGAATTTTTCACTCATATGGAGACGCCACCACTTGTCGGTGGAGAGCTGCAAATTTTTGTCCTATACTCAGCACTTACGGCCATTGAGCATTGAGGGATCTTTATCGAGCCAGCACCTACTGTGACATGGGACCTCGGTTAATACCTCTGTCTCATCTGAAGAACTGGTCTCCATGTCCCACAGTGGGATTCAAACTCGCGATGTAAGGATCAGCTTCTTTCTCCGCGACTCTAGAGTAGACGCTCTAACCACTGCATCTGCTCTACTTTGGCAACTTTGGGTGAATATAAGCATAGGAATCATCATGTCCATCTGTCTGTTCATGTGTTTGGCCACTTTTATGATTAGCTTTTTTGTTCCAATTCTGGCTGAGATAAATTGATTTAAGTCATCTAAATACAAACAAATTAAGGGAAATTACTATGGTATTGGAATGAACATTTTGGAATACTGTCTAATTGTTCCATTGTAGTTGGTTTCTTTAATGTTGAAATAATGCATCTGGTCTTCCTAATGCATGGCATACACTGTATGCATGTGTAATGTTAAAGTTGGCTGAATGTAAAACAGTTCTTGTGTTATGACAAAGGTAAATAGATTTAGTTCATGTAACTAAACATGTTAATTATTAGAGTATTAAAATCTCAAGTTTTGAATACTGATTTACATGTGGAGAGTAGTTGGTCTCCTTAATGCAGTAATAATACATTTGGTCTCCCTTATGCATACTGTATATTATATAAATTTAATGACTGACATGTACGAGGGTTGATCCAAAAGTTCGTGGAATTTCTTCTAGTGTTGTACCAATAATCAGAAAACATCGATTGTCGACAAAAAATGCTACCGATTCCGATGATCGATTATAGTTTTTCATAGTCGATCATCGGAAACATACTTCTAATACAATACATTCCGGAATTATCCATTTCTGGTTTAAAATTTATTTCTTCTTAATGAAAGAAAATGGCATCTGCATCTGATACTAGCCAACTAGCACGAAGCAGAGGTGATTAAGAACCGAAGATGCATATACAGTCAAACCTGTATTAAGCAGTCACCTGCGGGAACCATTAAAAGTGACCTTTATAGAGAGGTGACCATTGAAAAGAGGTTCATCTTTTTTTCAAGAAAAATTCTTTTCCAAGTTATGTTAATTTTGTGTTTTAAAAATAGTACATCATAGAATATTAAAGAAAGATGTGTTTTGGACATCAATGGTCTCAGTTAGATTTTTTAAAAATTTAAATAATCTCAAGATTAAGTTCAAGATAAATTTGATGACTCCAACAAAAAATATATTGAGTCTAATAAGGGTATTGCATTATCAGTCTGGTCGAACCCCCGAACGGGGGTATACCCCCAAACGAGGGTTTTCCGTCCCGTCATGCAATGCGCAAGAACAGTAACTCTTGCCGTATCCAATATAAACAAACTTGCCTATGTCATTGATCACAGGAAAAAGATCGATAAGAATGTTATTTCTGCTATGAACTTGGTAAAATATCAACAGAAAAAAATTAACAGGTTAAGTTTTCCATAGTTTGAATTTATAATGTAGGAATAACAAAATATTTTCCGTCATTTCATGAAATTATTTATTATTTTGTAGGACGTCTCAATTAGGATTATGGAACGTAAATCACAAGGAAAAATATTCTAAGAATGAGGAAAATATTAATTTAGAATCTAGATTTAAATAAAAATAGATATGATCGTGTTTTCCCCAAACAATCGTATTTATAAAAAAAAAACTACAACAAGTTGCCAAACATTTTATTTAATTCTTATAAGATATAAAAGACAATAAATACGATAGATTTCATTTGAATTTTATTTTTATATGTATTTTTGTTACACTTCCTGGGCATGATTATCGATGATAAAGACCGTCGATTGCTAGTCAGAGGAAACGCGGACTGAAACCCACGATCATAAATAAATCGATATTAGCATCATTTTTTCTTGCATTTTATTACGAAAATAAAAGAAATATGGTAGAATAATACATTTTTTTTTATAATTTCAATTTAATATTAGTTGCTTATGTCTGTTTATCGAATATTTTATCTTAAATACCTGCATGTCAAGGAGCAAAAGATCGCCAACTTTGCCAGTGAATAAATCCCGATTTGTACAATAAAGTTGTATTTTTGTAAAATACAAACTCTAAAAACACCTTTAATCTATCATTTCCGAGTGGTTTTACATTTGCCAAATAATCCGTTACTTTGCACCGGCGATTTTTGTAAACCCCTACTTTTTGCGTGAAATACGCACATTTTTAAGCATCTGCGTATGCTCGTACCCCCGTTTGGGGGTATGGATTTCCCATTTCCGTTTACCCCCGTTCGGGGGTTCGACCAGACTGATTATCCTCCCTCCAAACAACAACAAAACTTTCTTTTATTATAGAATTACATTATCATGTTATGTCATGAATAAAATAAATTCTATTTTTTATCTAAACTGCCTCTAAAATATCAAGTTTAGTTAGTCTTGATAATTGTATGTTTAACAATACAGTGGCGCCGCGTTTATCCGGACGCCATTTATCCAGACGCTTCACCATCCGGACGATATATTTTGGGAACCAATTTTTTCCACGTTATTTTGTCTCATTAATCTGGAAATTCGCGTTCCATATCCGGACGGTCAATTTCTACTACAAAACGTAATAGTTTATTGAAAAATGACTTGTTTATCCGGACGGTAATTTTTCAAAAAACGATTTTTTTCACACTTCGCTTGCATTTGTGTTAATTGTTGTAAAAACATTGGTCATGCAGTCAGTTTGAAGGCGGTTCCCTGTGACCTACAAACAATAGCGTCTATAATTAGCATGTGTTTACCCTAATTCAATCACACGTATATCTTTAATATTTAGCTTACACTGTGCATTAATTAAATAATAATCTGTTCAAAATCATATTGCTAACCGTATGTACATCGGTAAATTCATGAGAATTTTGGAGAGTTGTAAATAAAATGAACAATAAATAACAAGCGATTTCGTAATGCTCTTTATCATGTTGATCATGTGTTGATTGCGTTAGTTTAAAATACTATTTTCCATTTCTAAAAAACGTAAATGTATTTGAAATGCTTTTTTCCCCACAAGACAGTTTAGAAAGGTACATAACTGAAGAAATATCTCTATTTAATGTTCTACCGTTTACAAACGTCCATTGCTTTAGAAAAGATATATAAAACTGGCATTACGTACAGAAGTTGATTACGTTTATCAAGGTATTTTTAATGATCGAAATTCAAACTTAGCGTCTGTAGCAAAAAATATTTTTAATGATGATGCTGAACAGTTCTGTCATATCATATGAGCTTCAATAATTATAATATATGGCTGAATAAAACAACTGTAGATCAAAATTTGCTCAGCCCATAAAGTTACAGGCCAAAGAGAAGGCGAATTACCGGTAAAATAGGAGGTCTCAGCATAAAATTGCCCATCCATTTTTTTTATTGTGTAAATTACATTTTAACATATTTTTTTCTTTAATCAATTACTGCTTTTAAAACAATAAACTAAAATATAATTTAGAAGTTTTTTTTCTTTGCTGTCACATTTGAAACAAGAATGTGCATATATACAATGTACATGCTGAGCGAGTGCTTTTTGAGATGTGATTCAATTATCCGGACGATTTCGTTGGGGACAGAGGCGTCCGGATAAACGAGGCGCCACTGTACATAAATTGTAGCATAACAAACAGACAAGTTATAATATTCTCAGTTTATCAAAGCAGTCCATAATACAAATTGATATATGAAATTCACAGGTGTTGTGAGCAATGAAGCGTGACTAATCCTAACGGTCATCTTACCTAGTTGAAAATCATGATAATCAGAACACATTGTGTAAACAAACACAGTTAATTAGGGTTTCTACAAATAATATGTTTCCTATGTGTTAAAAACGGCCTGTCATGCGTTTACACAATTACACCTATCGGAGTTGGGCATGCCAAACGTGAACTAACAATTAGAAAACAACTAATTATTGTCTCCATTAATGAATAGGTAAATAAGGGTGCCTTGTGTATCACTCAGAATTTTTTAAACCAGATTCCAATTCAATAAGATTAAGATTCTCGTACGTCCATTTTCCTTATAACCTTTTCGGTCACTAGCACCCTTGTTTTGTTTTGTTAAAAAAAATTAATAAATTTTCCAATATTTTAAATGGTTTTTAATAAGGCCAATTATTTTTTCCATGAACCAATTATTTACATTAGTGAGAAAATTGAAAGTCACCTGACTTTAGGTCTGGTCACGTGATCGGACAAAATAGCCACTATATACGAGGTAAAACAGCAATTTTACATGAAATTTGACAACCGCTGACCGCGTTACACAGGTGACTGCTTAATAGAGTTACATTATATAGGAAAATTCATTGGGAGGAAATAAAATGACCGCATAGGACAGGGGACCACTGGATAAAGGTGACCGCTATGTCAAGTTTGACTGTATAGGGCCTAAAAAAAATATTTTTGTTTCCTGTAATAACCCGACCGACCCATTCAATTTACCCCCGGGTGAATTTTTTTTCTGCCAAATCTGTGTTTGCTCTTTGGTTTGATCAATCAGCTGATTCTTTTTATTCAAAAAATGTTAATTGTATCTTTTATTTGAGATATAAAATATGCAACTTAGTCAACATTTACCTTAAATATAAAAGGTGATCAATTCCCCCCACAACTTTTTGAAGTTCGTTTTCTGCCGCTAGGCAGCCATGTTGGGTGTCCACTGTAAATATTTTTAGGTCTAGAAAGTGTAAAAGAAGCAAAACAACAAAGAAAA